TTTCGTTTGCATAAGAAAGAATATCAAATTTAATTAGCCACAATAAAGAAGGAACCTTGCAATGCTACATTAACGACGTCTCTCGAGTAACTGAATGCGTCTCATACAACAACGCCCCCTATAGTTCGTTGCGATCGCGAATACTATTTGCATATTTTAAAGTTTGAAGTCATGTGATTCAGAAAAGTATAAAATATAAAGTTTAAATGGACCTTTCATATCAGATCATAAAATTTTAATAGAGTAATTTCGCAGGCATTAGGTTTTAACTCTAAGAAGATACATATTCCTTTTTTTTTTAAAAAAAAAGAGCAATTTTACTTTGTGTTCGCTTTCATAAGAAAGAATATCAAACAATTTTCTTTTTAAAATTTAATAAGACACAATAAGGAAGGAACGTTACTATGCTACACTGAAGAAATCTGCAATGCGTGTTGTTCTGCTAGCAGTCCTATAGGTCGTTGCGTTCGCGAAATACATTAAATTTTAAACTAAAGAGTGTGAACCAGTCGTTTTCTTTTCTTTTTTTTTCCTTTGAAAAATGTTCGCAGTGATCGCAGCGATCCTGTGGGCTGTGGGTGAAAAAAAAATTTAACGCGCAGTTATGACATCAAGGGTCATTCTAGTTTTATGTGTTACACGCATTTCCATACACCAACTCTGATTGCTGAAATACATTTTCCCGCATAAAACTCACGAACCAGGATCTCTTTTTCTGCTAATGATTAGGCAATTACATGCAGTGAGAATGCTCCCTAAAGGAAATTGTTTGGAATTATTCTTCTTAGTTTTAACTTTGTCATTTAAAAGCTGAGAAAAAAATTGCCAGCGAGTTTTACAAAAAAATTTTGATGAGACAGAAATAGAACGCCAAATGTGGTGAAGTTGAAAATGAATAGAAATGAAGTGAGCCACTGTTTATTTACATTTTCCACTCAGCAATGCCATTCAGTGATCTGTTCTATAAAAAATACTATTACTTACCATGATGTGAATATCATTTCCTGAAAATTATAGTTCTACTTTATTGCTTTTTGATAAAAGCTCAGAAATGCTTCTCAAACACGCCGTCTTAGCTAGACCAGTATTTTTACCGATGCTTAAAATTATCACCCGAACTAACTTTAACAGAACAAAACACTCCGAAAGTTTTTTAAATGATAAAAAGACCATTAAAATAAACGATATCCTTTCATCTTTTGGCTTTAATTATGGACAAGTGGCATATATATTGAAATCGCCACATTTAATTCTTAGTTACGGTAAAGAAGATCTTATGTCGAACATTCTGAGATGGCAGATGCTTCAAGTAGATAAAAAAAAACTTTGCACTGCTCTTACAAGATGCCCAGAACTTTTAACATTAAATCCTGCTTACATAGACAGCAGAATTAAAGAGCTAATGACAATATTTACACAAAAGGATATTGATAAACTATTAGTAACATGTCCAGAAATATTTTTAGATGACTTTGATGATATAAAAGAAAAAGTTGAATACATTGTATATTTTATGGGTGTTGAGCAAAGTAGCATTGTGAAAACAGAAGCCATGCAATTTGATCTTGATTATATTAAAATCAGGCATGATTTTATGTTGCGTACTGGGTTTTATAGAATGAAAAAGAGAGTTGTTCAAGCCAAGACTGCTCCTTTAAATAAAATATTTAGTCGGAATGTTCAAACTTTTCTAAAACTTTCTGGTTTGTCGAAAGAAGAATTTGATGCATTTAGAAATGCTTATAAATTTGAACAGCAGCAAAAGCAATTGGATGAAGAAGATTCAGATGAAGATGTCTAAGTTTAATGGGATCCTTATATTCATGTGAAGTTCTGTGTTACATTTCATGGACAGTATTGAATGCAATAAATTTATATAGAAAATTATATTTAGTCAGTCGTAAGCTCAAGTAGTTAAGAATGCATTAAGTTTTCAGTTTAAGTTCATTATTCAACCATTTTTGCTTAACAAATTGAATAATATTGTTAATGTTTAAAATATTTTTGCAAAATGCTATTTAAAATGTTTATTATTGAACACAATACAGTTCTTGAATAGCGTCTTTTGAAAATATTTAGTAAAAATGTCTAGTTGATAAACTAATTAAATTTTTTTACTGGATGATTATAATTAATTTTTATTTAATTTTTAAAATGAAATTTTTTTTTATTGTTAAAGGTTTTGTTAAAAATTTTGCGAAGGCAAGTAATTTTAAAAATTAGTACTTTTAGAATATAAATTTTTTTTAAAAAGTAATAGTATACTTTCAACTATAAATAAAAAACTAAACTTTTCAATAAGTGATAATTTAAGCAAAATTAAAAACAGGGATTTTAAATAATTGTGTCTTAGTTTTATAATATATTTTCATATCATTGAAAACAATAAACTATTCGAAATATTTTATTAATTAAAAAAAATATATATATGAGGAACACAGATCACAATTTTTCTTAGAGAACTTCAATCTCATATATGAATACATTAATTCTTATTTTCACAGTTACTCAATAACTTAATAAAAATTAAAATCTCAATAAAATACATAAAAATATTTTTAAAAACTTGTCCTTTCAAATATTTATTTGTGTTCCATTTTATTGAATGTTTTTATTGTCATAAAAGACATTTGCAAACACCTAAATTTTAGAAGTGCTAATAGTTTTATCAAAATTTAGACTTAAAGAAAATCTGTTTTAAAATATTATAAATATTTTTTGAAAAAATTATTTTCTTACTTGTAACATAAAATTTTGTTTTAAGTTGCTCATACAATAACAGCGGGAAAAAAAAAACTCTCACTACAGCAAATTAATTTTTTATTTTACCAATGCATCCAAGTTATCTTCAGATTTTATTTTAACAATTTTAGGCCACACAGGACATTCCCATGATATTAATATTTGAATTTATCCTTCAAAACAATGGTGCGAATATACTAATGGCAGAATGTTCAAATATAAGTAAAATGGGTACTAGAGTGTAGAAAAGGCTTCACAGAAAAAGGCGAATGCTAGCTACTCCATATTTCTCACTCACTCTAGTTGTGAGCAAGGGAGATTATATAAGTTAAGGCTCCACAATATCTTGAATAATGACATGAATGTAGTACAGGGGTCAAAATTGTACGCTGGCCACCTCTACTTTCCAGACAATCTGATACCTATCGCTCTAAAACTAGGTGGATGCCACTGTGGATTGAAACCCATTTCTTCACTATGATAGTTCACTTGAACTTTAATTTCAATAAATGTGCCAAAATTTTTTTTCATAAGATCCTTCTTAATGTATAAGCAATTTTATTCACATCATACCGATGTATCACTCTGTAAAGCTTAGCAAACCAGCAGTTTTGAAATTAACTAACCAAATTACTGATTTTTTTATGACCTAGTGTATGTAAGCATAGACATTTTTTATTTTAATCTAAAAATTTTATATTGAGCATTACTTATCTTTATCTGAACACTTATCATTTAACTTAATACATTTGTTCTCTAATCTCCTAGTTCACATAAAATCAAATTTAGTGGATTCAAAAAATTTTTTTATTAAAATAATTAAAAAGAAACTTTTTTTTTTTTTTTTCATAANTTTTTTTTTTTTGTTCTAACAAATATTTATTGCTAAGTTACTAAGTGAGAACTGCTAGTCTTATTTGTATAAAATAGAAAATTTTTGTAAAATTTTTTTTTTTCTTCTTCTTAAAACAGTGAATTTTTTGTTATCTTATTAAAGCTGATTTTGTTAAATTTAAAAAAATATATATCTCACATCTTATCTCAAATAAATGTTGTAAGTAAACTGTTTCAGAGATTAATCAAATCTTTAAACTTTTATAATATAAAAAAGATTATTTTTGCTGATTTATTTCCAAACATTTAATCTAATATGCCAAACTGCTCCACTTTGTGGGCACTTTTTTCCCCAGGAATAACAAAATTTATGTTTAAATGTATAGTTCTTGGTTTAGTAAATTTGATTTAAAGTAATGTTGCCTATAGCTGCATATAAATTGTTTGAAAGTTTATACAAAATACCATTTTGTTCGAGCTATATAGTGATAACCATTTAAGGGGATTTCAAAAATAGCTAATCCATTTCAAGTTTTAGTTTTCAATTGTTAACCAGTTTTATAAAATATTTTGTAGAAAGTGCAGCAGTTGGCAGCCCTGATTTAATTACTAACATTTAATTAATTTAGCATTACTCATATTATTAGTAACGTTTTGGTGACAACTCCTATGTTTATTTAACAAAAATAAAATTTTTACATGATGCACATGCTTTTTAAACTTATTCTTCACTTATACTTATGTAATTTTATTTAAAAGCCCTTTTAATAACTTTATTATTTTAAAATTTATTTAATAATGACTGATATTTTTTGAAAAAAATATTTGAATTGGTACATAAATTTTCATTGCTTAATTTAATTTGCTAAAAGTATCCTAAATAATATAATTAATTACATTGTAATCAATATTGCAACAGTGTTTTCTTAAAGCGACTTCTGAAAGGTGACCCTCCCTGCTTGCCCTTTGATCCCAATAAATGCACAATCTTTGCCCTTTTTATAAAAGTACGCCGCCATCCCTTAAAAACTATGCCTTTTTATTCAGATTCACTTTTAAAAAAATTTATTCATTGTTTTTAAATAATAATTACACACTGGAAAAATTATCCTTGTTTATAGGTTTAATTCTGATTACTATTACAAACATTTAATTTGTTAGGAATATTTTTAACTGGTTAAATTTATATAAGTATCTATTTTCGGCAGGGGGGGGGGGAAGTTATTAATAAATTTTTTAAGTAATTTTAAAACTAATTTTTTAAATAAATACCTCTTTTAAAAATTTAAAAAACAGAATTTTTAAATGTATACTTTCTAATAATTTTTAGTTTAAATTATAGAAAAAAGCTTTCAAATTGTTTATCAATTAAACATTTTTTGCTAGTTTAGGGTTTTTGGAGGGAGAAAAAAAAAGAGATTGCCTTTTAGCATGCCTTTAATTATTTTTATAAACTACAAATTTTTCTCTTATTTTGATAATGAAAGAAAATTATGATTTGAAATATATTCATAAAATAGTATGAGAAAATAATTAAAAAATTGTTGAGCATAAAATTCATTCATTAAATAATATTGCACATTTTGTTAAATATTTACGATGTTAAGTAAGTGCCCTTTTAAAACTCAGAAGTACTCTTTTCGGAGAGGAAGCGTCTTGGCCTTTTTCATTCCTAAGGAAAACTCTGATTTTATAATAATCATATTTATATTAGGTTACATTTTTTATCTTTTTTCTTCGATCTCACTTCATAGAATGCGAGATTTCAACGGCAAGAAAACTAATTAAAGAAAGGGTTAGCTTTGTACTGCATATGCATAAAGTTAAACAATGTAAAAAGAACACAAAATTTGCTTCAAAATCAGACATCACTTAGTACTATAGTTTCTATTTTATAATGAACAACCTTCTTTAGTATGGAAACAGAATGAAAACAAAGAGATTATAAAAAAAGGAATGACCAATAAGTTAAAAGGAACAAGTTAATCAAACAAAAGAAAGGAGACGAAAAAGGGTGTGTTTAGAGAACACCAGATATCCTCCTAACAACTCCTGTTAGTAGACATTATATTGTTAACTTAAAAATTTCACCAACCTTAAATATCCTAATGCTGAGGACAATAAAGCTGAGGTATGGTCTTATAATGGATAAACTGAATGTAACCTTGAATTATAGCTCATAAACTTTCAAACATGCATTCAATGTCAATATTTTCTATATTATAAAGAATATTCCATCACCAGATATAGCTTAACTTTTAATCACAGGTTTGTATTTTTGCTAATATCCAACACTGTGTATCATAATCTGATCTAGATTTGTGGGAATCATTTAATAGTTTGAAAAATTCTAACAATTGCATGGTTGGCAAATCATTTTATTGTTTAAAAAAAATCAGTGTTTTAAATCATCAATTTTTCAAATTATTGTTTTAGGTTGGAAATATTTTTTGTACAATAATAAGTATATTAAGGTCTGATTACATTGATAATTGAAGGTTTTATCCAGTAAAATGATGATAGGGAGATATATCCTAATTATTATTGAGTGGATGTTTATATAATATAGACTGATATGTAATAATAAATTATTAAACAAGAATGGAAGTGACATAAAAGTTTTAAAATATAGTTTTCCATTAATTGTAAGTAAAATAATCTGTTTAATAAATACATTTTAATTATATCCATTTGGTTTTATGTAGTTTGGGTATATAAATAATTGAGAAATGTTTGAAGAAAATAGTTTAGAAATTGATCAATTTTTTTTATTGTTTTCTGGTCTAAATTTTTTTTTTCATTTGATATCTAACTCACTAAGTGGGTTTTCACAATTTCATGAGGGCTTTGAATGAAAATAACAATGATTTTATTTTTTTGTCAATTAATTTGTAGGAATAAAAAAAGATGGAGTTGCAATAATTTTTTTTTTTTTTTTTAAATTTAAAATGAAAATAATAATAGCTTTTTTTAAGAGTAAGCAATTTAATGAGTTTTTCCCTACTCAAATCATTTTTATTTCTCATGGAGTAGGACTAAAAAACAGTTGTAGCTCTTAAATACAAATGCATAAAATTCTCCTTAAAATGCTTTCTTCTTTAATGCAACACTTATTTTTAAAGAATAAGACAATGGATGGATGGATTCAAAATATTTATCATAATAGTATAAGTATCACATTTCAATTGGAAAAAAATCCAGTTCATAAATTTAAACATGTGAATAACACTGGTCAGTGGTGCACATAATTTTCTTAAACCAAACTCAACTTTGAGTTTTCTATCTCATTGCATACAAAAGGAAGTTTAAAATTCTTTTAACCCTTATAAAGTAATAAAGAAATATTAAAACTTTAAAAAAAAACTATAAATAAATATGTGTTAAAAATATTTTTCATATTAACTTTTACAAATCATCTTTTTAGGAATAATTAAAAATTCCCTTAACTATTTCAAAATAACTGCACTTTAACAATTACCTAGCATTGGATAAATGATAAAATGAACAACTAAAAATATAAATAATCCTTTATTAACAATTATTTAACGTACAACAAAAGTCACACATAATATTTCGTAATGTGTAATTTCCACTAAGATGCATAAATATTAAATATTTTATTGCAGTTGTGACAGTGAATGCATATATATATATATAAACACACACTTATATATTTTATCAAAAACAGAAAAATGATAGTATTTACACATTTTTACATAATTCTAGTTGTTCTTCAAACTCATAGTACACGATACTCATAAAAATTCATAACATGTAAACAAATATTATAATTTATGATTAGGAAAAGTATGTACAGCATAAATAATACTAGTAGGGGATACAGAAGAACTTGTGTATTTTCTAATATAGGCAAAGCTGAAAGAATAGAAAAAAAAAAGTTAAAGTATATCACTGATATGGTTAAAAGTAGATTTTTTTTTTTAATTGTTTAAGATTATTACCACTGTATCCAAGAAATGTGATGTATATATAATATCCAATAGCTATTAACCACAGAGTGTTTCCAACAAATACCCAGCCTCGACTGATTAAAACTGAAAGAGATAATATATGTTGTTTAATGATTAAGTTAATTTAATAGTAATTTAAAAAAACTCTACAATCTATATAATATAAATTACTTGATTATCACAAATAAATACTTTTAAGCTATTTTGAAATCCACATTTAAGGTAAATGACCACATAAAGGCAAAAAAGTAAAAGTAATAGATTTTAGAGCATTAAAAGTAAACTATAAAAAAAAAGTGTTTCAATTCTTATTTATTTCAAACTATATATATATATATATATATATATATATATATATAAACGAAAAAGTGTAGAGAAACCTCTTCCTTGAAGTGAATAAAAGAAATCTCTCCATCTGTGGGTAAAAAGCTGACCTCTCTAAGTCAAACTTTCTGTTTTTATCTAATCATAATGTTGGTGAAACATCTATCCATAATTTTGTGAAACTAAAATTAGCCTTAAATTCGGTCATTTCAGCCGTATTTCTGAGGTCCTTTTTTGTAGTTCTGAAGGAATGACAAAACTCATTTGTCTTTCATAGAACTATTATTTATAAAATGTAAATCAATACAATATGATACGTAACACTATACAAGTATAATATTAAAAAAAAATTTGATATTGCGAAAAATGACTGTCAATTACTACTTACTACAGTTAATTTAATTAAAATATTATTCTTCACAAGTTTTATTATTGTGTGTCATTTATTTCATTTAAATTTTCTAATTTCGATAACTTATTGACTAAAGATTTCAATTTTTTAAAGAGGAATTCGTTTTAAAGATCTTAGTAATTGATTCTTCAGATTTCACTCTAAGAAACAAAGGAGTTTAATTTAGCAACGAGTAAATCATGTTAACAATCTTATCATCAACCTCCAAGGATTGCTCTGCAATCTTTAGGGAATAGGAAGCAACGGGTGGAGCCCACTAGTAAAATTTATTTATAATTAGGGAAAAAAAGAATTAATCAAAAATATTGGCAAAACAAATTTTCATTCAATTTAGATATCTTAAAAATAACATTAGCATTACTAAATTGGAAATTTAAACATTATATATAATACATACTTTTAATGTTTTTTTTTAATATTTTACAAAATAAATATTTACATGAATTCCACATTACATCTAAAAAACAAAATTTCATTATCAACACTTTAACTTAACAATAATTTTATGCAAAATAATTCTTTGCTTGTTGGCTATGGATATATTTTTCACTTAGAATAAATAAAATTATTACATGCTAGAAACATATTTAAATTTTTATTTATTTATTTTGTTCTACATTTTGTAAGGAGAAAAACTTAAAAAAAATTTTTCTCCTGCAATGTGAATAGTTTCATCTAGATATACTGAAGGAGAAAAACAATGTTACAATCTTTACAACAAAAACTCAAAAAATTACTTAAGGTTTTACACAGCCAACTTAACTAGACATGATATGTAACTATTCATATAAAAAAAAAAAATCGAACTCTACTCTTTATATTCACTTACACTGAATAACTTAATTTTCTAGATTATTTTTAAAAAATAAATTGTTTTATTTCTACAACATACCGTAAAATTAAAATTATAATAATAATATTTAAAATACTTAACTGAATTAAAAAAAAATTTTGTAATAAAAAAAATAACTTTTTATGATCAATCAAAAATACTAAACTATGCATATTTATAAAAAACAACTTGGTTAAATTATTAACTTTTAAAAAGAATTTTTGAACAATAATTTAAAATAAAATATAAATTTTTTAAAAATAAATTATAGTTAAATGCAACATGGTTTATATGCAACATAGTATTTAAAAATCTAACTTGTTTCCAAAACTCTACCAAATCTACACAAAAAAAAAAAGTATTCCTAAAATATATTTTAGAAAGTGTTTTTTTTTTTTTTTTTTTTCAACCAATTTTTATAATTTTTTTTTCCTTATTCAATTAATTATCCCAGAATTTTTTAACGTAAACTTTGCAACAATTGAGATACACTGTGTCAATCTGATACTTACGATGATAAAAAAATAATTGGAAAATGTGCAAAATTATTAGAAGAGGAAAAAAAGCATTAAGATGAACATCAAATGCATAGGCCCATTCAACATCCTGATCCTTGCACACAGGCTTACGCAAATATCTATTAGATATGAACCTAAAAAATAAATAAATATTATAGTATTATACTAAGTTAGTAAATATTATACTAAGATAGTATTATGTAACATATAATTAATTTAATAATATCATTACAAGACTACTGGGAATTTTAATCCCTATATTAAACTTAACATTCATCTAATTGTTTTTGTTTACTCCATAACAGAGGAATCTCTTTAAACTCACTATTTCTCCAAAATAAATAAGTGGATAGCTAAGTTGGGTATATATATATATATACAGGGGTCTGTTTAGAAGAAATTTGGGTCCGTTAACGGACCCTTCACAAAATATCTTTTCATAAAAACGGACCCTTCACAAAATATTTTAACTTAAAAACGGACCCTTCACAAAATATTTTAACTTAAAAACGGACCCTTCACAAAATGATTTTTCTTTTAATCGGACCCTTCACAAATTTGTTTATCTTCATTATTATTTTGTTAATCGAATAAACCCTTTCCAGGGCAGAAAACAAGAAAGATGGATGTAAACGAATTAAGTTTTGTCTTCGACAGACGATTCTTCCATTATGCGTCCGAAATTTATATTCTGCGTTCAGCAATATAGGCTAAATACCAAATATTTGTATGGTGCATCTCTAATTTAGAAGGAGCAATTGTTGTTTATTTTTTAAAATTAAATTTTTTTAATTACAATTTTACAGTGTTGAGCATAATCTTGTATGTCTATACAATTTAAAAACTCCTTGAAAAAATTTTTTTTTTGCAATAACGGATCCTATTTGCACAAATTCATAAAAGCGGACCCTGGTTGAAAGAATATGAGTAATTTTTTCACAATTTCACGAAAAACAGACCTTTCACAAAATGTCTGGACAGACCCCTGATATATATATACATGTATATATATATATATATATAGCTCAATGAAGACAAAAAGGATAGATTAAAAATATGAAAATAAAAATATTGAAAAAATTTAATAGATGTTTTAATTTATTTTTTATTTTATTTATTTATTGAAATAATGCCAAAAAAATTTTTTTCTAATTTTTTTTTCAACCTGATGGGTCTTGAGTTACCACCATTTTAAACAATTTGTAACCTTTTTAATTTTCTTGGTTACAATGCCATCTTGGGAGCAAAATGCATAAACCTGTAACTTAAATATAGTTACATTTTTTCTGGTGAATAATGCGAATCTGAAAAATATAATACGGGTTCATATTTAAGTGACCCCACCTTTGCGTGGGGGGACGGGGTGAATGATAGAATTTGATAACATTGGATAGCTTTTAAAAATTATTGAATGTATCTAGTTTAATTTTTTGATCTGATGTATATTTCTCAAGATATTTCACACTTTTAAAACTTTTTTTTACATCCTGTATATTAGAATAAAACTAGCGAAGCATTAAAAATCTAAATCAATGTAACATTGTCATTAATAAAAAAAAAAAAACCTTAGAAAAGATAAAAGGACTGAAGAAAGTGGTTGGATTAGAAATGAACTCTATATGGAATTTTCTTCATGCTGATATTTCTGATATCTGCACAGACAGGAATGCCTGTAGTTTGTAATAATTCAGCCAGGGTGTTTCAAAGAAATTCACCATGATAATCTAGATGATCTCAGAGCAACACCAGCTCCTCATACAACAGCCAACAGCTGATTTAATAAATATTTTTACAAATACATTTGACATTAAAAAATTTTCTTCATCAGACAATTACTGATTATTTAACAATGAAGTGTTTGATGGTAGTTAAATCATTCCATTGTATAATTATAAGTAACAGAATTTTGAAAGATCAGAGGGGAAAAAAGTAGCAAAACGTCTTTAAAAACATAACCTCAATTTTTTTTTAATACATTTATTTTATAATAATTTTTAAAAATTTTCCTAATTCCACATCAAATATCAATATAAAAAAACATTAGGAGAAAAAGACTACTGAAGAAAAATTACTCTCACCCTAATCAAATTGACAATAAAGATATAACTTTCATCGAAGATACAATATTAACTTATTTAAATTTATACATGTACTAAATTGTCCAAAAATAGAGATATAAGCCTCGGCAACTCTTTCTTAGCACATTTTGTTACTTAGACATTTTCTTTTGTGGATAACAAGTTTAGCTCAACACAAATCATTAATTAAAGTTTTAAGCTACATAATTGCATCAATAACAGGGTGGCCACCCACCTGGAAAACCTGGAATTATCAGGGAATTTTTTTTATACTGGAAAAAACCTGGAAAAATCAGGGAAATATGGATAAAAACCTGGAAAACCTGGAAATTTTAAAGAAAAGCTGGAAATTTTTCCTTATATAATTTTTTAATTTCACTAATTTAAATTATTTGCTAATTTTCTTAATTTAAATTGTTTCATCCATTATACCCACATTTTTTAGACGGAAATCTATCTCCAAACAGTTAAAATATCATCAACTTACTTTGCTTTCATCAAAATTTGCTCCATTATAACCCTGTTAAACTAGAATACATATAACATAAAATTCTCCCATGGTTGCTAAGCAAATGTCTTTGATCTCTATGCAGACTGTGCAATTTAGGAGAGGATGTGGAAGATGGGGTTAGGATTCGGTTTTTAAATTCTGTCCGTGTTCACACAATGATTCAAGTTTGTTCGCAATTGAGAGTGGTAATTTTTTTCTATTTTGACAAAATGTTTTTGTATTTTTAACTTTATTAAATTCTCTAAAAATTAGTTGGTTATAATTTAATAATAATAGATTTTATATTGCACTCTTTTTCTGAAAGCTTTTGAACTCCCATTCAAAGAAATCTGTAAATT